ACGCACGCACGCACGCACGCACGCACGCACTCAGGTATATACACATAATATAATAATACTATGTGCATTAGTACTAACAGAACAATAAGCTCTACACTATTCAGGGGAGAGACAATATTACTAGATCTAGTACACAAAAAAGAGCCAGTAAAAACCACAGCTCATCGAAGACGTCAATTCAAATTACAAATACGACAAGTAAACCTCTAATGAACATAGTCGGGATTGCATTGATCGCATTTAAATGGAATGAGACAAATCAATGGAATTAAATGCACGCTGTCAAGGGAAGCGTTACTTTTGTTAACGAGAACGAAGATTAACGCTCCATGAACGAAAAACAAATCATGAACGATCCAGTCTAGTGGGTCGTTACATTTCAACAAGATAGATTTCTAAAGCTTCGATTATACATTTTCCAAAAAGCACAACAGTGACATACTGTGTATGAGTCGAATGTCTTTTCAAATAATAACATAATAGAAGAAAGCATTGCCCTAAAAATAATTAAAGTAATTAAAGCAAAGTCTTTATCTATCAACTCAACGTATTAGAAACGTTATTAGAACCGCCACGATGCACAACACTTAATGAAAAGAACTCTTTACTTACAGAAGTGTCTGCATTCTGTTCATAGAGTGAGTTATCATTACTTGCAGTCTGTCTGAGCTAATCCTTCTTGAATAATATCTTGACTGTTCGAAATTGCCCTCTAACTATGAAGCAAACACACGAGATCACATTTCTTTCTGTGCCCAAAATTAGTACTGAACCCTCCACTGCCTGAACAGACGAGGATCCTCCTCTAACCTTTAATACTTTATTTATAGATATTCAACGGGCTGACTTGTAGCTTCTGTTCCAGCCCCTCTTGGCCGAGGACTGACAAAATCTATGTACACACGCCCTATAGTCCTATAGAAAGCTCTGCGGAACCTTTTCTATTTCAACCTTAAAACGTTTTTATAGACCTATAACCATTCCCGATTCAGTCTCTCACGGTCTCAGGGCAATTGATCAGCGGTACTTAGAACGGCGCTGACAAATACAGGACTTCACTTTCAGTCGGAGTCTTGGAAAGTACATAATATTATTGGATCAACGTGTGGCCAATGTGCAAATGGGCCAGGGAGTTGGTTGTGGAGATGGCTTTTCAGAAAGGAGATTTTAATCAACATAATATAAAACAAAATTTGTTTATGCAGAAGTTAATGTCAGTTTGCTGAAGAGTGAGATATATTTTAGATGATAACTTTTTTTTCGTGAGGGGAGGGGGGGGGCAGTCAGTGCT